TTTAAGTACAAGTCTGGGATCCTATTAGTAGTGATGTTGAAATTAGCTTTCTTGAGTCACACCCCCTTATCACTTAGGTGGCTGTCCTTCATCTCGGGTTGTTTTTCGGGCTGCAGATTCAGGTCTACAGGCTGTGCAGCAGTTCCCATTGTATCTCAGTGGACATCAGCGATGCAGAGCAGTTCTGCATCCCTCTGGGGGGATTGGAGGGTTCTCTGTTTTCTCAATCAGTCTGATGTGCGCAGGGTCGCCTGTAGCACTTCCTGATGAGCTCTCTGACGGCACGGCGCCACCTCCCAGTGCAGCACTCCCCTTCAGTCATCCTTCGTTAGCCTCTCGCAGTAAAACAACACCGCAGAGTTATTTTGGCACAAATTGCTCATTGTCGATTCAAGGCCTGGTTTGCCTGTCTGCAGCCAGTGCTAAAACTACAAAGAACCGCTGCAATGGTGGGGGGGGGGGGGGGGGCATTCTGATTTAACTGCCATTTCCAATTTCTTTCATCCATTATTGTTGTGGCAACTATTGCTGGTCAATGCATTTTCACTATTGTTGTTATTGATTTTTATTTAAATTACCTTTAAATGTATTATTAAAATTTCTCAGACATTGATTTAATGATGTTCAATACATACATACATACACTATACAGACAAAAGTCTATGGATTTAGAATGGAATGTCATGGCCAGGTGTCCCATATATACCTCAGAACTCGAATGTAATCCGTTCAGAACTCCGGATAGAATCCTAAAAAGTTTGAGTTTTGATCGAATTTTCCCCATAAGAAATAATGGAAAACCAATTAATTGGTTCCCAACCCACAAAAATTACATCTAAATGTTTTTTTTTTTAGCATTTAAACACAAAATGAACTGGATAAAACAAGAAGAGCATATACTGTACTAAACACATCTAAGCACAAAGTAAGAAAATAAAATAAATCCAAACAATGTGTAAAGTTAAAAAAAAACAATGTGTCCTGCCCCAATCGTCTGTGTTTTGCCTGCCTTACCTGTAATTAAACCCCGTATTCCCCGATACTCTGACGTCTCCGTTCCGTCCCGCTCCGCACGACAATATTATTATAGTTAAATGTATTAATGGTTTATTATTAATATTAAAATAATTAATAAGAAATCTTTATTTTAAAATGTATTTTATTATATAATAATAATTACTGTTGCTGTCTATCATTGTCTAAATGTATTTTTACTGTCTTAATATATGTATTCAGCTAGTGTAAACATGCACGATGCTATCACAGCGAATGTGAGGCTGAGATTGAAGTTTTACCCTTTGTTTCAGCTGAGAGACGTGCCGCGTGACTAATTTCCCTGCGTGTACAAATTTTCTTAGGTTGGCGTTCACGGTTTGACTTCTGAGATTCAGATCGAGCTCTAGGTAATTTTTTTTCAAACTGGTTGGTTCGACTTTTAAGAAATTCGAGTTCTAATGAGTTCGAGATCTTAGGTACCCCTGTATATATAATTGGAAACTGTAAAGTCAAAAGATTATTTAACAGTCTTTATTCTTTATTCTTTATTATTACTTCCTTAACAAAATTGAAAGTGTTATTTTCCACAATAAGAGGTTAAGGGCCTTAGAATGAAATCTTTTCCTGTGAAACACAAAATGATGGTTTCTGTGTGCACAGAATAGTTTAGATAAATCGCAGATGCATGTAATCCTGTCCATAAAGAACACAAATGCATCTGAAAGGTCTGCACGTATTCTTAGCAACACAGGAGAATGCATGAACAAAACCGCGGTTTCAGCAAAAAATGCAACAGATGCATGAATTTGCCTTCTAACTCGGCGGCGCATCTCATCAGCCATGGGAACCTGTAGGCCATTCGGCTCAAAGTTTCCTCATTTCAAAACGTTTCCGGTAAATGCACGTTGCAGCACCATGGTGCACTGTTTAGCACTCTCTCTCACCTCTGGCACCAGGGTTCAAGCCTCCAATGGCCCTATGTGTGTGGAATTTGCATGTTCTCCAGATGTTGTTGTGGGGTTTCCTCTGGGTTAACTGGAGTTACTAAATTGCCTATAGGTGTGAGTGTGCCCTGTGCTGGGTTGGCACCATGTCCTAAGTTGTTCCCTGCCACAGACCGCTGGCCCTGAATAGGATAAGCAGTTGGGACATTAGCACACAAACTGGGGGCATGAGCGGTGAGAGATATCTACCACCTGAAAGGGAGTCAGGGTTGCTGCATTTCTCCCAATAAGAGGCTCTGTGCCACAATGTAAATGGCTCAAATAATGGCTCAAAAGCAAGGTCACCGAGGACGCAACAATGTAATCGTTCACAGAGCTGTTCAGCACCTTTCCTGGGAATGAGAGCGGACCAGAAGGGATAAGGAGTGAGAATGAAGCCTTGTGTATGTTCAGGTGGGGGGGAGGGGGTGTTGATGGGTGTCTTGTCCAGAGGATTCTAATTGAGTGGAAAATAGCAAGCGTGAGCTTCATAAACCAATTGTTTTCTGCCGCAGAAAAGCTAGCAGTGGTCGCACGCGAGGTTATTTATATTACCGGATAGGCTCCTCTTCGAGCTGATGGGACAGAAAATTGAAATTGATCAAAGCCGGGGGAAAATGGGAAGGAAAAGGGCCGGTGGGAATGTGTTTCCTGAGAAAGAATTCATCCTCTCATTTATAACCACTGGTAATGGCTCAGCGTTGGAATGAGTCACTGTGAAAATTGCAAATCAAAACATTGCATCATCCATCTTAAGTCATTAAATATCAGCAGAGCCTTTTGTGATGCAGATGGAGCTGGCGATGAACGCAGAGCGCTCCTGTCCTCATTTGGGAAGAGCTGTAATGCTGATTTGTACACACACCCGTCTACCATATGGCCTCTGGGAAGGTCTAGGGAGCCATGTCATATACAATCAACAGGGCCAAAGTCACAATAGCATTAACATTAGGCTATATCAGAAAAAGAACATGATGTTACATTTCGACTGTGCAGAATTGTTCTATTGCCCTAACAATAATATGAGAAATAGTTTTAATACTAGCTCAATGAGTTCTCTACAAATGGGCCGATTGACTCCCTTGTGCATCACATTTACATACTGATGTTTTGCATCATTACTCAATCATTGTTTGATCATCAGTACAGCCAGTTGTTTATGCCCGTTGCCTCTATTAGGTAATCCTTTCTTTGTAAAATATCACGTCCCGCTTCTGGCCTGCTCTCCCGCCCCGTGTCACTTATTGGGTATGGATGTAGCTGCAGAAACTCCCTTGCTTTATAGTCCCTCATTTATCCAGAAGAGAAATCCCCTAAGCTATTGTAGACACTCCGTTCTGACACAATAAATGGAATGAATTCCCGCAGGATGTTTGCATTATTAAGTAACACATCGTTCTCTCGGTCTGCATTGTGCAGGAGGCCACCAACCTCTCCGCTCATGTTAAAAATGAAGGGACATATAAGGCCATATTCATTACGCAAAGTGATCTGATTTCATACTATAACTGGTCAGGCCAAGTGCGGCAGCCATGAAGTGAAAGGTGCTTTAGACGGTTTTTATTATTCAGGACAAAGAGGACAAAGGATTTAGCCTCTGCTCATTTGTTGATGCTAAAACGTCATCGCATTTCTAGCCGCTAAATGAAAATCCCCAGAACAGAATGTTAAAACCAAGGTGTTTTGGTCGTGTAATTTATCCATGTTTGATATTTCACCGCTTTTTGCAAAGAGCAAGAAAGAAGCAGTTAATAAAAGTAGTGTATAAAAGAGTACTAGCTGTTTGTAAAAGCACTCCATGGTTCATAGGATAAATACTGCTCTGCTGGGTTAAGAGGAGCGATCTGTCAAATGTGCCGTCCTCCACAAACCATTGTTCTTCCACTAGACGGCTGCTGGACTCAAATTCCTCCCTTTAATCATTCTGAGCAGATCCACTGACGCGTCGCTGTACCCTTTATCAAGCCGATTAACTCCACTAACATACTGTAAATAAGAAACAAGGGATTGCGTGTGCCTACTCGCCCCCATCGGCCCGGAGGCGAGCGGGGAGTGCGGGGGGATCAGCGTGATGCGTGGGCCGGGGTCAGGGCAACAGAGGCACTGGTCTCAATGCTCGGTGTGACAGCTCCGCCACGCTGATAAGATAAGAAGGATTGGCTGTGTGCGAAAAGGGAAACTAAAAAAACACTAAGACCTCAAGGTCGTGCTGTGAAAAGACACCAAATTTTTCATGTTATCCTTAATAATATTTTATTAAGCTACTAGCAGTTAAAATTTCATCCTTCTTATTTATATAGAATTTGTATTATTCAAGATATGTGTGTGTGTGTGTGTGTGTGTGTGTGTGTACATTTTTCCCATAGAAATGAATGAGCGGTCCCCATAAAGATATGTTTATCTGACATGTGTGTGTCTGTGCATGCATGTATAGGACAAGGATCTTTTTGAGACTATTGACAAAGAATATTACACTGGAAAGTATGGAAAGTGTACCAGCACAGGTGTGGTCATGCTTGATAAATGAGGATAATGAGAGTTTCAGCACTGTTTCCAGTCATGACCCCAGTGCATTACTGGTGACCTCCATCATCTGTTTTTGGAAATGTATTGCAGACTCTATTATCATTGCCAAAAAAGAAAGAGCTTTAAGCACTTTCACATTAACATATCAATACAGTACATACTGTGAAGAGCAAATATGGAAAGGCTTGATCTGAGCGAGATGATGCATTGAACTCCCATCAATAGTGCAGCAACCTAGGTGTGCTTTTAATTTAATGGGAATGTTAAAATGTGATATGTAATTAAGCGTAAATTCATTATAATCGATATTGATGCTGACTGGTGCAGGAATGTGCTTAACATCGTTATTGTGTATGATCCGGTGTTGCTGATAATCTGTAAAGCTTAAATAATGCACCATGAGATGGGGAGGAGTAGATTCTCCATGTACTTTGCACTATTATCAATCATTATGTAGGAGTGACTTCTGTTTTCTGTCTCTCTCCCTGGGAATAGGAACCTGATGTCCCTTCCTGGTCCTCCCTTCCTGTTCCCACTCTCATCCTCAGATAAAGTCCCCCTTCCTTCCCAACATCCCCGTGTCATGTGGTCCTGTTCTCTATCTATCACGCGAGACATTTCACCAAAAAAAGTGTCAGGTAAATAGTGCTTTCTCAATTAACAGCATCAAAGATTTACAGTCCTATTTTTACACGTGTAATGCAATCAGTGTGAAGAGCAGCGTCGTTCGTAGTTGGAATCGCACATATATTTCTGATCTCCTTTTCAACTCTGATCCAGTCCTCTGATCTGAAGGTGTTATATTCAGTTCAGTTTCCCTTTTAAAAAATAGGAAATAATCCTTTTCTGTTGAACATTGGTTGGTGTTTCCAGTGTGCTTCTGATCTTATGTTCAGTGCCAAGATTTTGCTGTGGGGGTGTCGACCTTTAACCCACCAGCTGCACACACAAAGACAAGCCGACCACTATACAACAGGAAAATGTAATCGATTTCCTCCAGATGGGAGCAGACACAGCCTCTGAAGATCGAGGAAAGGGAAGGCAGCCCTGAGATTGAAGATGTCGCTCCTGCAGCCGCCTCTCACTTCATTCCCAATAGCAAAGTTGTGCATTGACAGGTGAGTCATTAGAATATTTTTCAGGCTTCCAGGTTACACACACTGCTGCTGCCACAAGTGCCCAGGCTATGGAGCACAATTTAGGCAAATGTCCTCCTCCCTCTCATTTGGCCTCACGGAAAGTGAGGTATTTCTCTCTCTCTCTCCTTATTGTCATGTTGAGTAGCTGAGCTCTGGCTGGCTTGGGTGAGTAAGGGAGTGTAGGGGAGCTTTTTGCTAATCTAAGCAAGTGAGAATCTTGACATAACCAGCTTGCTGTAAAAGGCTGCCTGATTGAGCTCCCCGTACACCTTTATAGTCTGGATATATCATATTTACAGTATTTAAGTGATATGCTTTCATCAACGTAATAATAGGGAATGTGATTCATAAACATGGTTTAGTAAGTTCGTTATCTATTTAAGTACAGGGAAACCTAGACTGCCTTGTTTTGAAAATTGCTTATCAAATTATTAATGAGAGTTTATCAGACTATTAAGCAGACAGTCACTGGAGTGAACCTGGAGATTTTCACAGCACTTGGCAAAGTGATATTTGAGGATCAGGTCGGAATGTCAGCAGCTTTCAGACAAATGCTGAATTTTCCTGATGAATTTTCATTTTATTGCTTGGGCTGATAAAGGACAATGTAATTGCTTGGGCTTGTGAATGATAAAGTAATTGCTTAGTCTAGTGAATGATTCAGTAATTGCTTAGGCTTGTGAACGATAAAGTAATTGCTTGGGCTTGTGAATGATAAACTAACTGCTTAGTCTAATGGATATATAATGTAATTACCTGGACTGATGAATGATAAAGTAGTTGCTTACTTTGATGGATGATAATGCAATTGTTTGGGCTGCTGGATGATAATGCAATTCCTTTAGCTAATGAATAACAATGTATTTACATATGGGTGACCAAATACTTACATGGCTTTATGAATGATAATGTTGTTGGATATGTAATTGCTTGTGCTGATGAATGAATGCAATTGCTTAGTCTGATGAATGATGATGTAATTGTTTGGTCTGAGGAATTCATGTAATTAGGCTGGTGGATAATAATTTAATTGCTTAGTCTTCTGATTGCAATTGCTTGCATTGATGAATGATTATGTAATTGCTTGGTTTGATTAATGATTACGTAATTGCTTGTGTTGATGAGTAATGGCCTGGTGGATAATGCAATTGTTTAGTCTAATGAATGATAATGTCATTGTTTAGTCTGATGAATTAATGTAATTACTTGGGCTGGTGGATAATGTAATTGCTTAGTCTGAAGAGTTATAATGTAATGCTTGGGCTGATGGAATTGACAGTTTGTCGCATTCTTTAATGTAATTGAATTTTTCATGAAGAGAACAGCAACATTTTGCATGTGTTTTTCAGCAGCAAATTTGAAAATCAAAAATGTTTTTTGCCCTTTATCCATATTTCAGCTTGGATTCAGGCATGACAAGGGTGCATCTGTCTGAAACTGAAAAATATGGTCAGTTGCAGAAAAAAGACGTGCTATGTTATAATGCTTTACCACTGATCAAGATATTTCCTGCTATAAGCCCCACATAATTGCTGTCAGGATTTTACAAGGTTAAGAAAAACGTCATAGGGTTCATATAAATTCCACCCTCCTATGATGAGATATGTGCCATCCACCCCAAACCCCATCCCAACCATCTTTCAGTCTATGTTTTTACTGGATAATCTTCAGAGCCAGTTTCCAATCCACTGAAAAGATATTCTGAACATTGCACACACACACTGCCAAATTGCTGAGGCGTTCTGCAGCAGTCAACTAAATTCAGACTAAAAGGTCCATATGAAATGACCAGGCTGAGTTTTCTCTTAGGGGAGGTTATTATGCACCTCCTCAGAGTAAATTAGGTCTAAAAATGCTTACTCTGAAAAGAGTGTTAGAGTGCTGCACCAATGTCAGCGTTTTTATAACTACATATAAAAAAAACAACAGATACATCATGTTCACATATGCATGGCCTAAGCGTCTAACATATCAGATTATGGATATTTATCTTTGAGAAATGTAATATTAAATATGAATACTGAATCTAGATGCTGAAAGTGTCAGTTTCTTTCATGAAGGTGCTTCAAAGCATGATAACTTCTCTCTGAAAAGCTGCATTTATTGTGCTCTTCCACTATTCTCTCATTAATCAAAAAATCAAAAATTACTGTCAGGAGCATTCAGCTCTCATTAGGCTGCTTTAATCCCTTTGAAATAATTGAGTATGAACACAGTTATGTAAATTCTATATTTTGATGATAACGCCATGTAATATGCTTCTTTGATATTATTAATAAAAAAAAAATTAACAATGTGATTTCACATGTTGTAGCACTATACAGTAACTAAAACTGTATTTTGTATTATTGGTGGACATTTGTGTGTTCTTGAGCATTACAATACATGATGAGATCCTCCCCCAGCAATGTGATTTAGGATTTGTGTGTGTGTGTGTGTGTGTGTGTGTGTGTGTGGCTGGTTTTATCTTCTCTTACACCTTCTTACCTACTGGGATGTAGTTGGAATCAGTATTGACTTCTGGTTAAAAGTGGATGTTTTGAAGTGGCATTTGTATTTCAAATCAGTTTCAAACTCTTGAAGATATCGCCCAGCATCCCGCTGTGAGAAAAGGACTATTTATTTAGAGGAGTTCTGGGAAACCTCAAGAACACAAACAGTGATAAGCAAAATAGCAGACTTGTCTCCGTAAGCTGTTGATTTCACATGAATAATGGAGAGCATTAACAGAAGGACACAAAATGAAATAATTTAGCATTTTGCAGAAGGAGGGGATTGACTTGGCCTCTGAGCATGAAGAGATCACAAAACATGCAGCGGCCGCAACTTTTACCGCATCCACTGCACGGACTCAGACGGAAAAGGCAGCCCTTGAAATTCAAAGGAGAGCCTTGTCATTCTGCCCTTCGCATGCCTGCTTCACCTGCATTTCTACAGTAAAGTACCAAGTTGCGCAGATCGAATTGGGTGGAAGCACCAGCTAAACAACTTCATGTAGCTCTCAGCTATTTCTGGTTACCAGTAGATTCTCCTCCACATATGTGGTAACACCCCGCTTCACTGTGTATGTAACATGCAGGGTATCTCCGCTATAATCATCAGAGGCTTTAGGTGCATGCTAAGGTTAGCAATTATTGGTCGATGGACAGCCTCCGTGTGACCTCCCCCATGATAGCTAAATAAATGTAAACAAAGCTCATTTTCCCATGGAAATTAAAGATGTCATCAGGCCTATAGAGACGTTTGCGGGTGTTATTTCAGTGGGACATAGAGAGGCGGGTTCCATCGGTAGATTCTCATTAGCTCTGCTACTGGGCACTTTAACGCAGGGAACTGCTCCCATGTAGCTTCTGTAAGGCGATGGAAATGGAAAGACTGAACGAAGCAAGCAAAGCTATAACAGCCATAATCTCTGCAGGACACCGGAGGTCTTAATGGATTCATGCCCTGTGCACATTAACTCCACAGGTTCTGTCTGGGGAAGAGGTTCAGTGGCCACTTATAATAGCCCCTTTGGCCTTTGAAGTGACTCGGCCCCGGGGTTGATATCGTGGGGACTCCAATGTCAGGCCTGCGACCAGGTCCCAGCAGGGCTACACAAAACAGGTAGGCTGGTACAAAAAGCACTGCAGCCCCCGGGGGGATGTGGGCGTATGTATTTCTGACAGAGAGCCCCAGGGCCTCCCGCAGGACATCCAGAGGAAGTATCACACTGAATTCCAGACGATTTCTTTGCAGATACATCAGAAGTTCCCAGTGCTCTTGGCTACATATACGAGCACATTTCAAATGCGTAAAAAAAGAAATTTTACTCTGGTGGCAGTAGAAATATAGAGAAAACCTTTCATAATATATGGTTCACGCAAGCAGAAATCGTAATACATATTGAAGATTATTGACAGAATATGAAAGTCCAAATGTAATTGCTAATCTATTGTCTGGGTGCAGTCACATGGATTTAATTGCTTATGCTGTGAGATTTACCACATCAAAGATTACTCTATGTTCCATTGAAGCGGTGTTTCTGAAAGGTTCTTTTCCGTTAGTTATAGGACTTCTGTGATTTCTCCTTAAAAATGTCATCTGTCCCTTACATGCACTGCAAGGTATGTTAGGCCTAATCATTTCAATGTGTCCAACTGCAGGAAGATCATTTTTAGCAGGGGGTGAGACGGACCCCATCTAGAAATTTGAGTGTTGATTGAACATGCCGATGGGCATGGGGGGGTCCCAGTGGTGAACCTGTGGTGAGATTGCCAGTGCAGATTAGTGGAATGACGTTGCATCGTTTTTTTATTCTCTAGAAAATGAAAGATCAATCTGCTGGCCATGTTTAATAATGAATTATAAACATGTTGCGGGTCTCTTATAAGTATTGGATGAGCTGACGAAATCCCCCGTCTTCAACCAAGGAAAATGGCTGATCGTCCGATGCAATCATCTCCATTATTTTAGTAGCTATGCTTTAGCTCTGATGCAGCTAACACTGACAAAGATTATATCACCCAGCAGTAGGCTGAGAATCCAAATTTTAACTCAGGTTACACATTTTCGGGGGGGGGGGGGGGGGGCGGTTGTATGACACAGTGTTAGTTCAAAACTGGGAACAGCTTTTTATTTTTCAGTATGGGATGTCCCCAAAATACAGCACCAAATGTTACAGAGATAAGATCAATTCAAAGTGAAAATAGTTTAGAAACTGATAGATGAAATAAATTAGCACTCATGCAGTCATACCTTCTAGGGATATTTCTGCCCTTTCCCTTGATGTTTATGTCCAGATCACATTGGCAAAGTGTGCAGAAGGAATGGAATTTGTCTTCCTTACTCTTTGAAATGAATGCGTGTTCTTTGGAACATTCTTAATTGTGTAAAAGTTTTTCATTTAGGCATTTTAAATGAGACCATCCACAGTAAATAAAATAATTGGGGTGGGGGGGGGATTCAGTCATCAATGTAAGTTGGAATGTAAG